TTTGGTTTTTGCTCTCATAAAATTTGTATTAGTATTATTTGCAGCATGTTCTGTATGTTATTGTTTTCTTCTAAGGCCGTCAAATAATTTCACGCCCGATACGTGACCATTTTGCATATATCCAATTCGATTGCTGAAAATAAAAAAAAGTTTACGTTTTTGCTGGGTGCTTTTCAGCGGAATATTTTTTTTTCTTTATTGAGCGATTATAACAGGACTACAGCTGATTGCGTTGTGGAAGTTTAACGCACTATCATGTGAGTCACACACACATAATATTGCCCACAGCAAAGTCAATCATTTAAAGTCGCAGGCCGACTCGATAAAGCTACATCTTTTGTTGTCAAAATTTGTTTTGAAAATAAATAAAAAAAAACATTGTTTCTTTACATAAATTTTTATTCATTTTTTTTTTCTTTTATCACATTGGAATAACAGTCTCAACTTGATACACATTCTTAGTAAATTGTTTAGTCATTGTCCGGCTCTTCTACGATGTGACCATTTTTAGTACATATTTCTTTTACGTATATTTTGACTGAAACAAAAATTCAATTGAATTTTATTGTAATTTTATCAATCATTTTTGCCAAGTGATTCATTGACAGAGATGACCCAAACAGGAAGTACATTTTTTTACTATTCATTTTTATTTGAATTTTTTTTTCGATTGACCAGTTAGTTTGATAGCGATTTATAGCGAATGTTGTTTTCTTGTGACTCAATTTAAACACAAAAAGAAAAATTCTGATTCTATCACTTTTATCACTTAACGGCTTTTATTATGCTAAGGCACGGCAAATTTTTATTTCTTTTGTCGAAAATGTTTTCATCTTTGTACTGATGCGAACTGGAGTGACTTTGGTGCTAAAATACATATTTATGAAATATAAAATGACACACACCTTCGCAAATAAATCGCTACATCAAAATGAACTGTTCTTGCGCTGATCTTTTCCAAATTTCTTCGATTGCATTTCGGCAAAAAAAATGATTTTTTTTTTGGTTTTGAAATTTGATAAGTGGAATTTTCGTTTGATTCAATGTTAAAATTTATAATATGATTTCTCCCCTTTTAGGTCTGTGAGTGTGAATCAACATTGAGTCTGTCAACAAATTTAATTTTAAGTTTAGTTTTTTTTCTTCACATTTTTGTTTTGTAAAAAATATGGTTTGAAATTTCTGCAATAAAAACGAACATTATTACACATAAATAGACACTTTTTTTTCTGTTTGTTCTCATTAAAATATTTTTAGCACTTGAAAAAATCAATTAATTATTGTTTTGATGTTCCAATTATTCTTTTTTTGAAAAAGTACTTAATATTGGATTTACCGAAAAAGAACGAATTATAGGTACTCAAATTTATTTGTTTTTGATAAATAAAAATTTGATTTTGGCAAAATTTATTGAAAAAAAAAAAAACTTAAAATTATATTGTTGTTGAATCAATTGGAATAAAAAATAAATAATCGTAATGGAAATTGTTGGGTTGTTTAAAATGTACCGAAAAACGTTCACACGTAGAAATAATGCGAACAAAAAAAAACCTGAAACGAAGATGAAAAAAAAATATTAACGGAAAAAACACCATAACCACTTAGAACATAACGAAGAGTCAATTGTTAAAAATTCGGTTTCTTATGCATCTAAATAATTATTATTCGTTATCATGTTTTGTGTGTGTATGTGTGAATTTTCATTTGCCTAAGCCTAAAAAATTAATATACACGCTAAACACTCCAAGCAAAAAAACCGATAGTACATAAATCAATTACACGCATACAGAGGCACACACTCTCTTTTCTTTTCTTTTTTTAATTCGTTTTACTGATTTTAAATCCAACATTTATTTATTTGTTTTAATTAAATCTAATGCGAAAAAATTTGTGTGTTTCAATAAATAATTAATATTCTTGGTTTTTCTCTTCTAATTTTATAGTCTAAGCTTGGTTTTATGACAATATTCGGCTATATATCGCGGTGTGAGTGTGTTGTTCGTTACAACTGCAAGTTTAAAGTCTAACAAGAACATATGGCGAGGTTTAAAAAAAAGAATTGGTATATGAATTTCAAGGCAAATCACTGTAAAAATTAAAATGTTTATTACCGTTTTTGTATTATTTAACCGTTAGTTTATTATTGGTCATGGGGGTTTATCTTATTGCAGTTTGTTCTTGAAGTCATTTTTCTTAAATATCACCACCACATGACCAAGATTAAGGATTTTCTTCTTTACTTTAACAAACAAAAAATTTGACTTTTCAACAAAAAAAATATAGATTAAATCAATAAACGTTAAATTATTCGTAACTGTATGTGTGTGTACTTATATCGATATACGTGTGTGTATGTATGTGAGGATCATTGTCAAAAACATTGATTTATTTGGTAAAGAACATAGAATTTGCCTTCTTTTATTTCTTTGTATCAAATTGTTTTTTTCTTTAATCTAATTCGTTCAGTTTCGTTCTCAACATTTTTTTTCTCATATTAGACAAAAAGTTTGAACAAAAAAATTTGCTGTCTTATTAATACTCAAATAATGAAAATACGATTTCAAACCCTTAAAATCTATTATTATTATCGTTTTTTTTTTTTTAATGTAAAATAGCAGAAATTGGTGTGAGGAATTCAATTCTTACTTCTTCCTTGTTGAGAAAATGAAATGATTTTGTGTATTTATTTTGTAAATGACATAGAATCGGAAAACTGAGAATTTCTTTTTTTCTTCCTGTGAAGAAAATTGTTTGTTTTTTTTTTCATCTACAGAAACGGTGCAACAACAAAAAAGAGGTCACAAATGTGTCACTAATTGAAATGGATCGGTACATGCTATGACACAATATCTAATGCTACCAACTGTCATGCTTTAATTGATGCTAGTTATTTCTGATTTTTGATTTTCGGTTTTTTCTTCTTTGCTTGCTTGTTGCCCAGTGTTTCTTTAAATCACATTGATCTTCATGTTTTCTCTCTACGTAGTTAAGAGTCAAATGATTAAATTTTATAAACCCTAAAAAAATATAATCCAATTTCATTAAGGCTAGTCAAAAGAAAGTGTGTGTTTAAATTGTAGTCGAACAAAAGAGGTACTTGGATCTAAAAACTATTACAATAATCATTCAAATGCAGAACAAATCTATTTCGTATTATTTCATTTCACACTGTCTGTGTTGCGACCAACCCACTTGCACTTTTCTTCGATGGTTTTTCGATTCGAAATTCTTGATTTTTTTTTTTCAAATTTTTGTCGAAGGAGATAATTTCTTGAAGCAACTCAAACACATTGTTTCTTCTTGAATAAATGCAAAATAAAATTTCACAAAATAATTCGTTCAGTGAGCATTCCTGAAATTGCACTCTGTCTTCGTTCTTATAAATAATCTTTTTAAAACAAACAAAATAATTTAATTGGACCACATTTTGAGTGAAACATGTTCAATGCTTATGAATGCCTCGATATAATAAAAAAAGATCATTTTCACATTATTTGGATGAAATATGTGTGTGTGTGGGGTTTCTTTTAGCTTTTGTGATTAGATACGATTTTAGAAGTGTTAGAAACTATTCAAATATTTGGCATTTTCTCATGAATTTTTTTTCCACATTTATCTTAATTCCATTAAATAGAAATAATAAAAAACATTTTACGTACAAAAGCTACTGAGCTTTCACCTTTCTATTGTTTAACAATTTGGCTAGTTAATCTGGATATTTTTTGGAATTAATTTGATTAAAATCCAGCAGTTCGAAATATCTTCATTTTTTAAATACACGATTTATCATTAGATTTTAACTAGTTCAGGTATCAAAACTACTAAAAAATTTGATATCCACATTGGACGTTCCGGTTGTCTCAAATATTTGTGTTTATGCCCTTTGCGATCGAAGTAAGAACATTTTTGGTTTTGGTAAATGAAGACAACTGCCTGTCTGAACAAGTGATGTGTCCAAACTGCGCGCACCAATTTAGAACCTTAAACGAGGTCACAACACCATTTTTGTGATATTTAACATATCAAATGTCATTTTCTATACATCTAACAATGAAAATTTTAGTGATTTTTTTTATTAATAATATTAAAATTATTGTTTGCATTTTTGTAATGAAATGTTTTAATTTAAGCATTTATCTAGAATTAGCTACTTTTTGTTTTCAATTTATATACTATAAGTTTTCACAATACACAAACATTTATTTATTTATTTTTTGTTTGTATGTTTAAAAAAAATGTGTCCTGTGTCCTTCAGTGTTCCATTGAAGGTATATTCGTTTTGCATTTGTTGCACATAAGAACTTTGATTTTATGCTGGCGAGAGATGTATTTTGATTTTGTGGTTCGGTTTTGAATTGTCATTCGACTTTTGGACTTTGACAAATGAGCGTATGAGTCAAGAACAACAAAGTCGGAGTTTTCTTAAGAATCTGAATTAAAATGCGTTTTAAATGTATCACAACAACAAAAGGAGGAACATTTGAGAGGAATTTTCAAAAATGTGAAGACTCATTTCAAAAACTCAATATTTTTTTGTATGCAATTGAAAAGAAATACCTTTTCTACACTGGGTGTGCGGAAAAGGACTGACGACTTTTGAACAGAAGACTTGAAACTGTTTTGAAGAAGGAAATCAAATATTTCCATCTACTTTATGATTAATTTGAAAAAATGAGTTTCTAAAAACTTTAAAAATCACAATTTGGTACGATCATTTCTGACGATTTTTCGAAGAAAATCCATCCAACTTTATTTCAATCGATTGAATCCATTCAATTCTAATAAAATACACAAAATAAGTCGCCTTTAAAGGAAAACTAAATAAACTATTCTGCAAAACGAAATGTTCAATCAACGAACGTGAGACTTAATGAAATGGAAACCTTTTCTTTGATAGCGCTCATTTCGAATTGATTGCCTTCAAATTTGACTGCTGTTTTGACATGTCAATTTTCTAATTAAAAAAATGTGGTTCATTTTCGGAATAGTTTGGTTGTTTTTGGTCGAGTTTAATTTAATTATACATAAATAACATCATTTTTTCATACTTTTTCGTAAAATTCGTAAAAATTCTTGTTTTAAGCATTTACTTTTTTTTAATCGTACACAGCGAATAAACAGATCAATAATAATTTCTAAATTGTTAAGGTCACATTCCCAGTATTTTGGACGAATATTTGGGAGAAAAATTTGTATTTTTTGTTTAAAATTTAAATAGTTGTTTGTATTAGAGCTGCGGAATTGAAACCAATCAGACGGGACAGTCTGGAAAATCTCAAAATTGATTGTTTTATCATCAAAATAAGAGAAACATTTCTCTATTGAAATTGAGCGCATTTTTCATGCCAAAAGATATGTAATTGTGGAATTTGTAATTTTGGATCATTTCCTCATAATTTAATTTGATAAATGTGCTCTTATGGAATATGTGTGTGTGTGATTCGGTGTGTCAGTCCAACCCCTGTCTGATGTAGCATTTTTCTAGGCTGATTTTCTTAAACTAAACGAAATTCTTTTTGTTTTGTTTTTAATGCAAATATAAATAATAATTAAATTTTGGTAATAAAAAAAATTATGATGAAACGATTCGATTTTATATATCCTATCAACACAAAACTAACTGAGTTTTTTTTTAGCTAATTAATGCATGTAATGCTGGCTGTGGCCTCTACGTATGTCGTGCTGTTTTGTGATTTTGTGACAACGCAACACTTGATCAATTTGGTCTTTCTTTAGAAAGAAGATAGCGATTTCGATTCGATGACTATACGAAAATTTGTCATTTTTTCTCACATTTTGGTTTGTATTCATCGTGCAAAACAGTATCTTCCATTTGCTTAAAACAAAAAAAAATTGTATTCTTATCAATCATTTTGCTATTTCATATATAAATTATAAATATTTGTTGCAACATTGTTGCGATTGAGAGTGAGAGAGAATTTACATGTTATTTTGTTTTATTTTTTTGTCCATGCCGCCATCATCAATTAATGTTCATGTTTGTCATTATTTACAACGATATTTTAAAAGTAAGTAACCATGAAAATGTGAAACCATAATTGTCAACTATTAATTGATATTTGTTGAGTGAGTGAGTGTGTATGTATGTGTGCGCGAGGGGGAGGGGGCATGGTGGTTTTTTTTTGTCATTGCTTCTTTTTTTCATTTCATAACGATATTCTCTCTGAGTTTGGTTTCATTCAACACATTGCAAATAATTACTGTTTTAACACTTAATTTTATACATAATATTTTGTTTTGTTTTAAAACTAGACATTATTATTTTCTGCTCACTCTCTTGTTTCCATTTTGTCTCAGTGCATGTGTGTGTGTGTGTTTTATTTGCCACAAAGTGCAGTGAGAGAGTGCAAATAGTGGATTCACATGAGCTCGAGAAATATACAAATATACGAGATACGATTTACAATGATATTCGGGATAGGATCATTATTATCAGGCAAAGATTATGTGTTATATATATACAAATATATTGTTGCATTGTTGGTTCATTTTTTTAAAAAATATATTAAACTTATATAAATACGTTACATTTGAATAATAGAATTTTGTTGTTAAATTGTTGTTTTTTGTAAATATAGCGATTAATCAAAAGTAAATTGGGAGTAAATTGGAGATAATCTTTGTTTTCCATTCTTTTCATTCTTTTTCTCTGCGTTTTTGTTTTTAGATTTAATTTTTTTAGACACTTTTAGATATAAATGTCTTTGTCACGAGGTGTGTATTTCTAGTTTTTTTCTTTCTTTCATGATTTGCATTAAGCTTTAGCTTCTTTTTGGTTGTTCGTTTTTTTTCTTATGCCTTCATTTGCTAATTAATTTTTATGGCTTATTATGTCTTTTACAGCCTCGATACATATTTTTTCTCTTTTTCTGGATGCATTTTCATGACCTTGTACGTGAAAAAAACACATGATATAAAATGAAACATGAAAAATAATAATAATAAATTGAATGAGATGTATACCGCAAACAAAAAGAATTGAAACCGCGGTCACATCTTACATCTACAATACTTTAAAGTTCTCTCCATGAATAAAGATATTAATGTAAAAAAACTAATATAATATATATGCGAGCGCTTTTATGAGCAAAAAAATGCGTTCAATTTCGGTTGATCGACTATAAACGTTTTGAATTGGTGTGCGAATTTTTTTTTTTTGGGGCAACAATAAAATGCGTTAGATCAACTTAAAGTAACGGTGGTGGAGAGAAATGAGCTCTAGCTCTGAGAATATGAGAAAAAAAAAGTGAGTTCGCGCGCGATGCGATATTGCAAATCATTTACAAAAAGAAACAAATCACCGAAATTTTCTCTTTCATAATTTAAATTTCTGTCGCGTGACAACAACCATTATCCAAATTAGTGTTGTTGTTTTTTTCAGAAAAAAAATACGCACATTACAAACAACAAATAGGTTTTCTTTTAAACAAATAAAATTTAAAAATTTCATGAACGAAATAAACTCGATTCACTTTCGCAATATTAAACGGAAAATCAATGAAAATGAACTTCAACAAATGCCTTTGTCTTTTTCCTCTCTCTCTCTCATTCTCTCTCAATTTCTCAATTGGATTTTGAGTACGGCGATGTCAGTGGCGGCGGCAACGGCTGATCCAAATCGTTATATATATCATTTTTTTTGTAAATAGTCTCCGAGTCAATTGGTTATATTGTAGTTTTTCAGATGAGTGGCTGTCATTTTTCCTCTTTTTAATTTTTAACGTTCTTGAGTTCGCTTGGCTTAACTGCTTGTTTTTCATTTTTTTCTTGTGTGTGTTTTAAATTGGGATGTGTGAATGTTTTTGAGGTTTTGTTATGTTTTTTTTTCTTGTTTTCTAATTTAGAAATGTGAGTACGTGGGCATTGGTTTATGACTATTTGCATTAAAGTTAATTCCTGATTTATTAATATTGTTTTGACGGCATGCACCGTAGTTGAACAGTTGTTGTCGATTTTGTTGGATAAAAGTGGCCAACGCTGCGTTATTCAATTGATTTGTGGCGGCTGTATTGGTATTAACGGTGGTGCTATTGTTGCTCAATAACATTGAATTGAATGTTGAATTGTTCATTGTGTTGCCACCAATTTGATTGACCAATGCGTTGAGTGAAATGTTGTTTCCGTAAAATGCGTTGTTTGCATTGCCATTTGTATTGTTGTTGGCATGCTTGTAGCAAGTGTGATTATTGCTGGTTGCGCCGACATTTGCAAATTGATTGCATTGATTGCGATTTTGATATGGAAACGGTGGTACGGATTGGTTGGCGTTGGTGCCAACATTTGGCACAGCATTCTTGAGATGATGCATAAATTGGGCATTTGGATTTTTATTCAAAATCATCGGTGATTGGGCGGCCAATTTTTGAGCGAGTGCATTCAATGTTTGGGTTGGTGAGTCACGGGTCACCATCGATGATACCGTACTTGTTAACAAATCGTTGACAGTGCATACATGATTATTGAAACGTTGTGGCCGCTCAACTTTGGTCGGTACATCAAAATTCAAAACCGGATACTCGAATTTACATTTACAGAAATTACATTTGCTCAATGCATAATTCTCCGGACCTTCGTAGCCCGATGCCAAACGATTGTATTGAGATCGATTATTAATGTACATTTCAATATTTTTTTCGGGCAAATGTGCATATTGAACATTCCATGATTTGTTGGCAACATTTGCACTGAAATCAAGAATATTACGTCCATCGTACATTATTTTGAGATTACTGTAACGTATCTCTTCATTCAAATCGTTTGCGGCAGCAATTGCAGCTGCCATTGCTGCTGCATCCTCATCGTGAACCGATGCAGTTATTTTGGCATCATCGGCTGAGACTAGTTGGTCGATTTGAGCTTCACTGTGTTCATTTTCGTCACATTTTTCCATGCTAATCTCACTTTTAATGTCATTGCTTTGATCATCATCGTCCATTGTCAATGTTGACATTGTTATGGTGGATACGATGCTGATGTTTGACTGTTGCAGCTCATCGGCAATAACCATTTGGACGTCAACAACATTTTGCGGAATTTGTTCGGTCGGCCTTTCATCATCACCATCGCTACCGCCATCGCTCGATTCACTTTCCGTTTGTACTGCTGAACTTGGCTCCGATGATGACATCGTTGGACTGTTACTTGTCGGTAGCTGCTCGCTTACCAATTTCTAGAGGAGAAAAAAAAAACAAAAATCGTAACTCATTCGGGTAATTAAACACGCAAAAAATACATATTTTCAACAATTTTTTTTTTCAATAATTTTGATTGGTAATTTTATTTTTTTATATTTCAATTTTCCCATGATTCAGATAATCTGTACTATCTTTATTCAAAACAAGAGAGAGAGAGCGAGTCAATTTTGAGGTTATAAACGACGTAACATTCACTTCGTAGATTTATTTTTAAACAATTGCTTGACTGATTTCAATGGAAATCAGATTTTTTTTTTTTGCATTTACATGCTTGCATAAGGTTTTATCGGCGGCTTTATCTCAAAACTCGTGTCTGACATTAAATAAACGACATTTTAAAAATTGTTGCTGTTTTTTAGCTACAGGCTGAATACTTTTGAACTCAGAAAATCACCGCATAAATTTTGATTTCGAACAAGAACCATGTCGATTACGAAAATTCAATGAAAATTACATTCTTAATATGCGTCAATTAAAATGAATGTGTTTGTGTTTTTTTTCAGTTCTGTGTAGTGTGAATGTCAATGAACTATTGCTCCGTCCCTTTCGAATAATATGTCTGTTGTGCATTCAATTTATGCATAAATATTTAGTTGGAAAAGTTTTCGAAGAAACGAAAAAAAAAACTGTATGCAAAAAACGAAATAGTAAATTCAATTTAATCGACACAATGAAATGACGACATAAACAAACAAACATTCATTAATAAACTTGCAATTCGGTTGCAATTGTTATAAATCGGTTGAGTAATATACCTTTGCCTCATCGGCGTCCAGCGAACTAACGCCACTGGATTCACTGCCGGGTGATGCAAGAATCTTGAGATTTTCTCGACCCATCAGGATTGGAAATACCACGTCATTGTCGTCGAACAGCTCCGACGGCGTTGTTGACAAAGCAAAGTTTAAATCCATCGTTTCGTTTAATTCCGTCTTCTCTTCGGTTGTCGTTCGTTTGTTCCGTTCGTGAAATGTTTTTCTTTTTTCAACTGCTGTAAATGAAAGGAAAAAACAAACAAAATATATGAATATTTTGATATATAGAATAGTCGCGAACAAGTATAAACAAGTTAAAAAAGTCGTAAAAACAAAGAGTTACCCGACGGTTTCTCTATTATCTATTTCGTGAAAGCAAACCAATGCGAATGAGTTTTTGTAATTCATTTATAATCAAGGCACTCTGAAAACCTAAAGGTGGGCTATTCACAACAAAAGTAGCTGTCATTGTATTTCACCAAAAATTTGGTGTGATTTTGATACGAAAAAATATTGTGAACGCACCACTGAACAATACATATACAAACTAATTTCGAGGTTAAGTTCAATCCGTGGTTCATTCACAATATTTTTTCGTATTAAAATCACACCAAATTTTTGGTGAAATACAATGACAGCTACTTTTGTTGTGAATAGCCCACCTTTAGGTTTTCAGAGCAATGTTTTATCGATGTATATATATATATAAATTATCGCAAATAACTGTTTCTCTTTTACTTTTTAATTAAAACCGAAAATTGCAACACACTGAGGCAATTTGAAATGTTTCGTTCGACAGAAATTCGCTGCTCACTTCACAACGAACGTACATATATCAGCTTGTATGCGATTACGTCAGCATACAAAAATTGTAACATATATAAACAATATAGAATGTTATCTCTATCTTTTTCACTGATTATTTTGTCAGCTGATTGATATACGCTAGGGAGGAGACACCAAAGAATAAATTCCGAATCCAGCTATTCCACTAATCCAAAAACACGATGTGAAATCGAAACTATTTTTCCTATTCGTTTCCGTCAAAAATGCTAATTCTGCTATTCCTCACTATTCCACTAATCCATCAATAAACGTCAAAAGAAATGTTAAATGGATTTGAAGTGAAATAATTTTGGCTATTCCATGCACTGTTTCGCTATTCCACGCGAATCCATTCACAGACGTTGCTATTTCATTGCAATTTCTCGAATCTTTACACTAAAGTCTAATCCTATTCCACGTGTCTGCCCCATAGGAAATACGCGAAATGTTCAATAAATTTCCAGCGAAACGAAGTCGATATAGGGGTGATGAATTTTGATTTGATGTGTGATTTAACATGTCACAAACATCAAATCATCCATGAGAAAATGTTGACAGGTTATTTCTCAGTACAAACAAAAACATCGTTTTTTTATTTATTTCGATAGAAAAACTGTGACACAAAGCACATAAACACCGAAATAGGATTGAGTCAATGTCAATTTTGCATATGTTTTCTCATTGAATTTGTAATGATTTGAGTTGTCGATCGATATACAAAACACAGAACATCTGCAAATTCTGGGCCACCCAAACACTCACACCTCAAACTACATGAAATCGAACTAAGCCAAAATCAATGGCAAGCACACAACTCACCGTATGAACGAACAAAAACTAACTAAAACATTGGAAAAATGATTGGCAGAGGTGAAAACAAATGCGATTGACTGCCGATTGGATCGAACAACAAACTATATGCCACTTACACACAAACACAGAAAAGAATTCCACCGTGAAATGTTGGAAATCAGTGAACATGGCGAAGCAGAAACAAAAAAATATTAAACCAGATTGTTGATGTGTGTGTGGAGCAGAATGAAAAAAAAAATCATAGCAACAACAAACGTTGACCGACTCATTTGCAATTGAATAGCGTGGAATACAGAGAAAATAATAATACAAAAACAATACGTACAAATTTGTTTGCGTTTTTTTTTTTCATTCGTTTGTTTTTCATTTCATCGTGATCGATATATATTCAGTCAAAAGGCAAACATGTGTTGCGGCATTCACATGGAAATTCACTGGGTTTTCATGCCACTTTGAGTCGGATTTTTTTCGATCTTGCCAAACCTTTTTCTTGTGTACTTTGGAGATCTTTTCGTGCGTTAATGCGCGAAACGGAAAATGAAATCACCAACGGAACAGAAGATTCATTTTATTAAGTAGCCAAGCAATTTTCGCAAATGCACTTTAAAACAAATCGATGTGTGTTATTATGTAAGCAGAGTGAGGACGTATTTTTTGAAACCGAAAACTAAATAAACAAATGAAAAGGAAGGCGAACAAATAAACGCATCGCTGCCATGCACACACACACATACACACACAATCAATAATAATGTAAAAGTATATTTTTCGTATCGAGTGATGATAATGCGCGCAGGCAACCAAAACCAAAAAAAATGTACACATTGCCGAAGGGAAGAAATGTTGTTAAAACCAACCAAACAACCAATCGGTTTGTGTGTGCTGTTTATATGAGCCCGTTGTTGACATTGTATTGTTCACTTATGTGCGCACTATTGTGTACGCAGTTGACACTGCTGCATGAATTTCATTTCAACAGTAATTCTGCTTCGTCGATTTTTTTCTCTCGTTTCTCTTTTTTTTCGTCGTTTTCTCTGTTTTTAAATATAACAACAACGTGCAGCATGTCAATTTCCCGATGTCAGTTGTTATGTCAAGGTCAGTTCGATGCAATACATGTATGTATTTTTAATTAAGTTGCAAGCGCGAATATAATAATCTGTCGATGTTATGATGATATCACGATATACATATTTTGAATTGACGGGCTCTCTCTTTCCCTGTCACTCTCTATCTCTAGCTCCGATTCTCGCTCTCACTCACAAAGCACAATCTCTTCGTCGAGCAATATGACCTTCTTGATTGTATATATGTGTAATATAAAAGGTCGTCATTTAGAATGGAAAATATACTGTCTGTGTTCTTAATCGAAATATGTTGTGTACTTTGACATTGATGAAATATAATAATCCAATGAGATTTGCTCAAAATCCTCGCTGATTCATTTCGTTACGCTTGAATTAACTTAAATGAACATTTGTCAGAATCGACTTTTTTGCGATGCGTGATTTGAAAAAAACAACCAAATTTCTTTGAAGTCGCAACACAATTTCGGATGTGGTGCTCATTTGGGTCAACATTTGCCGAATCGTTGTTGTTTGGCAAATCAAAAGAAATTAATCATGAGGAAACGAGTCTATGATGTTTACGAGAGAAATTTCACATCTAAAACTCAAAAAGTTTGAAAAAATCAATTCAAAACGAACTGTCATATGGGATGTATTTAATTTGGTTTGGATCTAGTCTCTTCCATCATCAAAATTATTCAAGTCAATGAATATCTGAAAAATGTCGCACACATTACCATCGCTACATAATTTTCAGTGCACAATTACAAAGTCATTTGAGCAGTGAAATCTGGGCTCCTAGTTAATACATTGTCGATGAGCCACAATATATTGGCCCGAAAAAAAAACTTTATTTCACAATTTAATGGAAAGAAAACGGAAAATTTACTGCATTAGAATTAGTATAGCGATACAGTATGAAGTCACTTCGTTGAAGTGGGGAGACTAGATAGAAATAAACAACAGCTGGGTGTTTCAAATCAAAACAATGTGATCCAAACGGCACATGACCGTTAAAAAATGCTCATTGGTTCATGTAACCGTTTCTGTGTGTTTACCCAAAATTAGATCATAACCGAGACGATCTAAATAAGTCATTGTTTTGCGTCGTTAAAATGTTTAAATATTGCTGGTTTTTGCAACGAATTGGGTTCGGTCGGCTTGTTTTGTCTCTTACAATTTACCATGCACAATTCCGAGAGCAAATTAATTAGAATAGCACATACACAAGCAAGATCATCAAATGATTGTTACTGTTCTTGTGACCATCGCAAAAACAAAAATTGGACATGTAGTGCTAGTTTCATTTTGATTTCGAGAGCCGCTAAATTTTCTCTAGGGGGTAGACACCAATTCAAAATGAAAAATCTATGTTAAAATACTCAATTGTATTGATTAAGTATTGAGTAATTTCATTGATTCCAACGATTCCATTAGAATTATAATAAAAAACACAAAACTCACAAATCCGAAGAATCCGAAGGATCCGAAGAATCTCATGAATCATAGGGACAGTTGACAAAGTCACTTTGTCAATAATATAAAATGTGTTGACTGTTGAGTTAAATTTTATTCCATTGTTAAAAGTCGGTAAAAATGAAATCATTGCATAAACAAAAATAATTGAATTTTATTTCAATTTTTATTTGCTAGCATATTTATTTTCTATAAAATCAACATACGTTTGTACGTCAAACGAAAAAACACAAAAATGTGAATATTTAATGAATCTGTGGATCTTTACGAATCTGTGAATCTGTGCGAATCATTGGAACTATAGCAATTTAAATCAAAAATTGAATCGAATGTGAATCTTTGTAAAATTTTGTAATCATACTAATCGTACAAATCCGACACAAAAGGTGAATGGATTCGCGGGTGTCTCCCCCCTAGAATTTTCTTTGTTTGTGTGTTCCGTTCAATTCCATAGAAGCGACGCACAAAACTGCCACGAAAAAAGAAGAAAATGAACGGAAAAAATGTGAATTCGAGTATAGAGATATCACGGTAAGGTTTATTATGAAATTGCGGTTCGCTTGAAAATATATATATCGAAAATGTATGGCTTAAAATAGAAACGACGACTTTCTGCTGCATTTGTATTTGGAGTCGTTGTGCGTCTAAGTATGCGTACGTGCGTTTGTTGATATTATTATTATTATTTGTGAATGTTGTTGTTCTGTGTTGTTGTATATAGTACGCAAAAGCATTTCAGCTGTTTTTGGCGTTTTATTTTTCGTTTCGATTTGTCTTCAATTTATATGGTGCTTTTTTGTGTCTTTATTATTTCATGACGTTCATTTTGGAAAACGAGTTCGTTTAATAAAACTTCCATGGATTGGGGCTGTAGTCAAACAATACCTTATCGAATTAAATGTAAACGTTGAATTGGAACGCTCAGAATCTTAAAAAAAAACACTGTTTGCTTTCTTTGTGGCCCCAAATAAAATCACTGACGTATTTTGTATGTTGGTTATTTAATAATAAATCAAACAAAATAACCAAATTTCGATATAGCGTATGGAAAACGACTAAATAAACAACTTGTTATTCGTGTCAATGAATTTTCTGTTTTTATTCTTTCGGATTGCGAGATACTTTCTGAACGAATTCAAATAAAAGATTAAGCGCGATATCAATTACATGAAAGAGAGAATGAGAGGGAGAAAAAGTCAAAGAGAGAGAGAGTAGGTGACTGAGCGAAAATGAGAATGAAAGGAGCTAGAGAGATTCGACATTATTCATGAAGGGAATGATAGAATAATGCGAGCGAATACGAAATCACTGAATAAAAAAAATGACACATTCTCTCTGTTCCGAGGAATCTATGGAAGAATGTTTGGATCCAATGAAAATGAAAAAATAAACAACCGAACGAAAACGAGAAAAAAGGTGATATGTATATTTTTATCGACCGAACAGCAACTGTGTATATGTGTATTTTTTGACATTGGCACACTGTGATCTACGGTGGAAATGCGGACGATTTCGCAAACG